TTTTATTTATTTTTTGCTAACTATTTTTTTTTTAAATAAAATTATCTTATCGGGTTCATTTTGATTTTTGGTTCCCGACGTTTCGAATGCTTTACAGCGCACATGGTCACGGGAGAGACTGAGGTTTTAGACGTCTTAAAGGCTTTATATACATACTTGTTACGGACAGTGCCTACTGCCTACCCATAATTTTACAAAATGAAAATAAAATAAGAAAATATTAAATTTAAACTAATGTAAAGCATTGATATACAGTTATACAGTTTTTGAAGAAGGGGCCAAAATGAGTGTGCGCATGACAGAATAATCATTTCACTTAATTTTTATCTATTTTATCTGAGGTGTTTTCGATGTAAAAAACATTTTCGTCATAATTGAAGATATAAGATAATATTTTCACTGACAGTTTACAACTAAGTATGACTATTTAAAAAAAAGACTTAAAACATTTCCACAGTTTTACTATCATTAGTAACTATTATTTTAGTGTGGTAATACTTCAGATGATTTTTTTGATTATTTACTTGGAAAATGAGACATTAGATTTCTATCATCATTTTTGATACTGTTATAATAAATTTAAGTTACATATTGACGACACGTTTAGCTCAGTTTGTAGTGAATCTACTTGCTGTGCCAGCGGTCGTGGGTTTGAGTCCCGCTTGGGGCATTCATTTGTGTGATAAGCACAAATGTTTGTACTCCAGTCATGGGTGTTTATATTTATAATATGTACGTAGTTAAAGTTATATAATTGTAGTGTATCAACTATCTGGTATCCTAACACAGGCTTCATAGCTTACTATGGATCTAGATGGCGGCGATAAATAAATATTTTAAGATCTTTATTTATTTATATAATTATAGTTGGAAGTCAAGTCATAATATAATATAATTTTAAAAATACATAAAAAATATTTTTCGTTCATACTGGAAGTATTAAAATATTTTGTGATAAACAAACAGATACATAAAAATGGTTCACACTAATGTATGTAATAGATTTATCTCCCAGTTTTAGGTATAGATTATAAAATGTGCTGGTTTTTTATGACACTCCTCTGGTATTTACAGAATTTAGATAGTAACTATATCATATTCCGATAAACTGTGGCTTTATAGATAAAGTGTCTTAGCACTGGATGCTGGAAAAACATGATCGATTATGTTTCTATTTGAAACAAATCCACAGATTTACTTTATTTTTTATCACAATGTAATGATAAAGGGGTTTTATTTGACATATCCTTTGTTATTTTTGATTGATATACATATTTTTTAAAATAATTTACGCTTATAAACAATAATAATATAAAGATTAAATTACATATCTTTTTAACAATAAAAAAAAACAAAAACAAATGAAAATGTTTCTAAATTTTGCATCGGACGATTTTCAAAAAAAAATCTTTAACGAAAGGAACAAAATTCATACTTAAAATTTAAGAATATATGCTTTTTTGATTTTATTGTTGATATAGTCGATTAAAAAGAAAACAGTTTAATATCAGTTAATTAGATAAACCTCCATCCCATTCAATGTTGCACGGATTTTAAACAAAGTCCTCTTCCATACGCGTCGATAATTTTTATTTATTCCACATTGTTAGTAAGTGACGAAACTGGGGTCATAATTTATTTAGCAGGGGATATTAGTACCCCTATTCGCTGGGGTGTTTTTACGCCACATGTTAATGTTAATTGATAAAAGTTGAACTGTAAACACTAACTGTCAAGTTAACTAATCTTCGCACTACTTTTATCCTTAGATTAACATATTAATAATCTAAGCTTTTATCATTGAAAACGAATTTCTTAGATTTACGCGATTTATTTTGATTTTTGGTTCCGGACTATTCAAATACTTTAAAGCAATCATGGTCACGGGAGAGACTCTCCTCTAAATCTGCGAAATAATCCGAAAAGATAGTTTTATTTATAATGTATGTGTGTAATGGCGTAACTAGCCTTTTATGGCCCCAATGCAAAAAAACGGAATTGCCGCCATTTCCAGTTTGCGAACTTCTCACTTTTTTCAAAATTTAGTAAGTAAAGCTGAACTTAGAGGACCATTCGTCGTTTTATAGAATAAAGGTACCTAGTAGTGATGTAACGAATATTTGCATTCGCATTCGCGAATATTTGTATATTTTTTGACTTTTGCATTTGCATTTGCAAGAAACGATGCGAACGTATGGCGAATATAATATTTGACCAACAAAAAAGAAATTACACGTATAGGGAATGGATGAATATGGAATGATAATACAACTGATAAGATTTATATTTTTTTATTTACTTATTATATTTGCTTAAAAAAATGATTATGGAACAGTCTTGAAGTAGGCAACTAAATTAGAAATACTTTTTCTTTTGTTCTTCTTAATCTAATTAAAATATTAAAAAATCGCAACTAAGCTAAAAAAAAATTAGTGTCCTTTCTTACGTTTAATAAAATTCTAATTCTAAATTGTATTTGAACAAAAATTAAACATCTGATATTCAAAATGTTGTATAACCTTTGACTTCAATTAATATACTTATTTTTCCATTTCTCTGTATATTTTTTCTAATAATTAAAGATAACGCATACTTAACTAAACTATTTGTAAATAAAATTAAGTCAACATTCGCTTTCGCATTCGCACTCGCACTTGCATTCGCATTCGCAAATATTGGAGATGGATATTCGCATTCGCATTTGCGAATGTGAAAAATCGAACATTCGTTACATCACTAATAAGTGCGATCACATTCCTCGTGGTCTTCATAAAAAATAATATCCGGAAATTTAGGACACCTTTTTCTTGCGGTTTTTTAAACTTCTATGAGGGCCGTTCTCGAAAAATGTTTTGAAATAAAAGAATCCTTTGTAGCCCGCTGGTGCCCCCTGAAACCAGGGGGCCTCGTGTGACCGCATTGGTTGCATTAGCATAACTAGCCCACTGGATGTATGTATGTAAGTGTGCATTCACGCTAAAACGAATGGAAGAAATTTTACACACAATAAATAATTATTTATTCGATTGTTCAAAGAAGGTCTAACAACTGAAAAATTATTTAAAACTTCATTCCACACATATGTATATTCTGGTGTTTTTTTTTAATAATTATATGAGATCATATGAAACTCTTGAGGTAATCTGTTTATTAAAAAAAAAAAGAAAAGCGTGACATTCCCATAAAAATTCAGACGATTTAAGGGTGTATATTTTGAAATCGGTCAAAAATAAGGGTTCAACGAGGGTAATAAATACTAGTGGAGTGTTGATGCACATGTTCACTCCAGTTAATAGATACGTAACAGGTTTTTTAGCTGTCACCTAATGACCCTTTTTATGGGCCATTTTAGCGAATGGTTGTCATATTTGTCATATTTCACTCAGTTTTTTTTTAATATGTACTTAATTTTAAATTATTCTGCCTAATAGTGCTGGGGTAAGCACTTGTTACAGACATGTAGAGACGCCAGTGTTGCTGTTAGAATTTCTTTTTTGTATGTAATGTACGCAACCCTAAAAACATAACCAGTAATATGTGATCTTCAAAAAAATTATTTTCAAGCTTACGCGTTAGACTAATAAAAAACGATTGAATTTGTCGTTTCAATATATATTTTTTAGATATTAATTCTACAATTTCAGAATGATATCTTGTCTACACAACATACTCCTTAACTAAAATTTAGAAGTTTACATAACTATGGCAATTTTGTGTTTCTCGCCTTACGAACATGCTAACATACGAACAAACAGGGGTAATTTATCCTTTTCTCTGATATTTTATGTTTTAATCGCATTAACACTGTTTTCGATTCAAAGAACGCCCCTTTATTCAGTACTAGTAGACTATAACATGTGTGGACAGCAAATACGGGGCGGTAAGCAAACAGCGTCGCTTTAAGCCGACAATGGGTAGTTTTTTGATTTCTGCACCTCCATTAGCCTATAAGTAAAGTCAAACCACGTCACATGGATGGGTAACCGTTTGTTATTTACTGAGCTTTCTTTTGCTACAGATGCAAGTTAAGCCATCACAGTTCTCGTATTTTATAAATAACTAGCATTGCCCGCGGCTTCGCCCGCGTTCAGATGACCAAAAACCAAATTCTAAGGTTTTACATATTAGTATACTTGTATATTGCAGTTTTTGTATTTTTTCTCAGACATTTTCTCGCAGTAAAAAGTCAAATCCTATATGTTGACCCGGATAACCAGCTATACCAAATTTCATTGAAATCCGTCCAGTGGTTTTTCTGTTATGCAGTAACAGACAGACAGACAGACAGACGGACAAAAATTCTAAAAAACTATAGATGCGGCCTCTGTATCGATAATAATGTTTATTTCAATAAGACTTTCCAAACAATATTTGATGTAGAGATTCGGCTTAGTTACAATATATTTCGGTTTTTGGGACTGTAGTAATAATATTACTATTAGCGTAGTATTATATCATCTGTGCTTTTAGTTTAAAGACATTCAAATTATTATACACAAAAACGCAATTAACCTTATATATTAAATGAGTAATTCTCTTATATACATAAGTAGGTATATAATTTTATTTCGTGTATCTCGGAGACGGCTCTAACGATTTGGATCAAATTTTGTATTTTGATCAGATTTAAGGATAAGGAAAAAACACAATTTTTCTTTTTCTTTTTAATTACTAGGAATTTCTCTATCTACTCTCACGCTGACTTTATCACATACCGCCATATCGTGAACGTTCAGTACTTGCATTGTCGCCAATGGACCATAACCTACTGGACGTGCGCCTACGCCCAAGTACTTTGTACCTACTAATATATTTATCTGAAGAGTATGTTTCTTTACACGCTTTTATCTTCGAAACTACCAGTTAAATTAGTTTTTTTTTGTAATTAATAGCCTATTTATTACCTTTACGACTACAGTGGCGTTGGAGTTAGGCTCGGGTTGCATAAATACCCGAGCGTAGCGACGGGCAACAAAAAGTTCAATTTAAAGAAAACTTACCCCCTAATTCTGGTATGCGATGATAGAACATCCCAGTCCTGGCCAGCCACTCCAACTGCATCTGATGAAGCACTCTATCCCCAGGGTGGTGGAATGCTGACGTCTGCGGTAAGATCCCGGGGGGTGGATAGTGCAGCATCGGTGCTTGGATAGGTGGTTGGAGAAGCCCTGGTTTTGGTATGATACCTGGTGTGAATATTGTTTGAATAATTAGTTTCGAAGGTCCCATGCCTATTGTATCAGATTAACGTGTACATATTTACTACTTCAATATCTTGAACTATATCTAATTCTAAGTAAATTATTGTGTCATTATAATAAATGTCTGTCTGCCTGTCAGCTCTACATGATCGTGGCTGAGCTTTGGGCTGACTCGATTTAAAACTCGCCATCGACACGAGAAGCAGAAGAAGCTCTATATGCTATCTAGTTTCAGTAACATCTGAACTGTGATAACAATGCCTTCATACCGACATTGCCGGATAACTAATGGGTGAGAATGATATGCTACTTTTTAAGCAGTCAGAGGGTAAAGATGAAAATTTTCATCTTCTGTTAGTGGAAACGTTAGTAAAAAATAGAAGGAAAATCATTAAATAAATTTAAACTAAACTGATAAGGCTCGCTTGTTCTTATCTCTTCAAACAACTTGTGATGTTTTTAGGCAATAGCCGTAATCTTTTAGTGAAAGCTTTTAGTAGAATTTATGATTAGAATATTGGTGCCAGTTCCCGAATCCGGGCTGTTAATGAGAATTTCTTTACAGAAAAACTTGACTCGTCCCGGAACTCGAAACCAGGATCTGCAGCAGCATATGCTAGTCACTAAACAAATGTCGTAGCTGCTCATATTAGTCTAGATCGAAAATTTGGTATCTTCTCCGACCATAAATAAAGAGTCTATGCCAGGACTACTATAAAACTTAAAACTACTTTGTTTTAAAATATATTAATTACAATTTTTGCAACGAGAAAACTATTATACCAATAAAGACGAAGCATTTGCTAAAATCAATAAACAAATTTCGATAAAATTTGGCAAGCACATATATTGTACCATGGGGATAGACATAGCCTACTTTTAATACACACCCTGTTCATCGAGTAATCCCCGCGAACAAAAGCATGCATAATATAAACTCCATTATCACGTTAAAAACTGACAATATCTTTTAAATAAATGTTGAAAGTTGATCTAATTTTGACTTACCAGGTCTGTAACTGTCGTACTCTTCATTTCCACCTTCAACTCCTGGAGAAATTGGTGGACTATAGCTCTCTGATCTATTGTCATCAGACCCTGGACTCCCACTCCTCGGCGTGCTATGTCCAGATCTTGGGCTTTCTCTATCATAATTGCGACTTAACGGCCTGCTTTGGCATTTGTTAATAGTATTTTGCTCAATTTGGGTATCATAGTTTTCATTTTGGTACCGCGTTATATAGTTTTTGTTCTGAATCAATGCCAGGTATTTTTGTTGAGCCATTTTTTCCTGTATCGTTTGGTCGGGCTCGATATGTTTTGATAGTAAAGCGTCGATGCAAAAGGATTTCTTTTGCTGGTTTAACACGGTCTTCTCTTCATCTAGTTGCTTGTAGAACTTCATGTTTTTGGGGCTGTTCGATCTGCTTGGGTCCGGATTCGATTCTTGGTCAATTTCTAATGGTTTCTCCGCAGTGTCTTCTGAATCCCGTCGATACATGGCTTGAGATAGAATGGACGACATTTCAGTGTTGTTCGTTTTTTACATATTCATCCTGTAAAAGTTGAAAAATTAATAAAACTTTCTTAGATTTACACCTATATTTGACATTTATACTAATATTATAAAGAGGCAGAGTTTGTTTGTTTGTTTGTTTGTTTGTTTGTTTGTTTGTTTGTTTGTTTGTTTGTTTGTTTGTTTCTTTGTTTGAAAAAAATCTTTTTGCATTAAATAACCATTTATTGAGATAGGTTGTATATCGTATAATGTATAGTCTATCTATTCCATACAAACCGTTAATCGTACCTACCTAGAAACTAACTCGAGCGAAGCGAAGGTGAGCTGCTAGTTTTAAATAAAACTTTTTGAATCTTTTTAGATATTTTCGCCGATTTTTGTTTTCCGACGTGCTTTATAGTAAATATTCACGGATTTATCTCGAGTTTTGGGTCTTAACGCCACGTCTCGAATGCTTTACAGTAAATACACTATCCCTTTCTTTCCCGTGACCGTGATTAATGATTCGAATTTCAACCACCGGACGACGAACACTACCCCCTTATTTTTTTTATTTGCAATAATAATTAAATGAACAATTGTAATTTAGAGTTAATATTTTTTTTTAATATTATACGTCAATTTGTATTATTTATATAAATATATATATGTATATATATGTATTATTTATATAAATATATATATGTATATATATATATATGTATTATTTATATATATAAAATGTATTTGTATATATTCACTTGTTTCTCTTGCGTTCTCCAAAAATATCCAAAGATATTGTAAATGAAAAATTTCATTAATATATTATATGTCTTTATGTACTTGCTAATCTCTGAAATGGCTTTAAATCTGATTTTTATGGTAGATAAAGGTTTTGATAAGGAGTAGGTAATGCCCGTTTTATTATAGAAAAGAAAAAAACACTTAGGTACTAACGACATAGGGGATAGAAATAGGTATAATGAGTTTTATTGTTGATTCAGAATAATTACGCAGTTTTATTACTTACTGAATATTCTTTGTACAGTAAGCATGGTCCTGGTTCATGAAGTATTTTTTTATATTTAAGGAAGGTTAAAAGAATTACTGGAAGCAAAAGAAATGGAATTATGAAGCCTATAATAAGTATTAAAAATGGAACCATCGGGTCAGTTGGAACCATCAGGAACTCTCCCTCCACCTTTGATGAGATTAAGTGAGATTCGGTGGGATCAATCTTCCCGTCACGCGAGATTTACCTACAGTTGTTAAGGGACTACATTTATTTTCATAAAGTATAAACCAATGCAGGTATTCTTCAGCAGGCAAAATAGACACTTCGAAAGAAATGAAGGAAAAAACATTTTATTTTTTAATATCTCTCTATCTATTTTAAAGTTGACACGAGATTTTAATTACCCTCTCAGTTTACACGAGATTTGATGAGATTTCACTTAACCCCCCTTCTCCATTTTGAGTGCATGTAATTAATGAGCCTCCTTTATAATAAATCCAAAAATCACAGGTAGATATGATGATTTTTATTGCATTATTGTCCTAAATAAACACCGGCGCGTGGCCGACGCGCGGCGAGCTATCAGACCTTCGTATAACGCTAAATTATTATAGAGATAATAACACATTATCAAGAGCTTTAATATCGACTTAATTAAATTTGCGTATTAACTCAGTTATTACCGTGATAGTATCTACTGAATACTAAATTATTATTCTGCAAACCGATATTTTCCATGGAAACCGGCTTGTCTGAATCAAATCAAAGCAATCAAATCAAAATATACTATAGTCGAATAGACTTTTACAAGCACTCTTGAAACGACAATTTTACATTTTTTTTATTTAATGTAAGTATGGTCAGTCCGTGGGGAATTTACCTACCACCGGCTCGGAAAGGCAGTTCTGCTGAGAAGAACCGGCGAGAAACTCAACACTTGCTCTTTTAAAATAATAATTGTGTACAATATTGTAATACAATAATTATATAAATATCTGAGTAATACGAACTAGTTATAGGAAGACGTGAATTCAACCAATTCGCATTATTATTCGCAAAATACAACTTTTTAAATGGAAGACAGGTGGATGGTAGGGGGTAAGCTCATTAGCCTCCGGCAATCCAATCGGGCGTGAAGCCAAAAGAAACACTGAGTGGGTCATGTACCATGTGCGTTGCTCCTGGTACTTCTGTGATAGCAGAGTGGACCGTGGGAGCAACCCCGTGGTTGTTGGTCTTGGTCTGGTTCGGTAGGCAGCCGTCGGGGCATTGTTGAGTTGAGTTGGTGAGATGTAAGATATCCATTAAGACGGGGGAGGTTCTGTTGGGTTTTAGTGGGGAGGTGGTGCATTTATTAGCCGATGAGTCCCACATAACCACCTGTATGTATACAGGTGGTATGCGTAAATGCATTTCCCAACATAAAAAAGGTACAAACAAAACCCGAAAAATTGCACCCATTTGATTTAAAAAATAAATGTCTAAGGACACGAAAAGGCAGCAAAGACTTAGAATAACAGGCTCTAGATTAAACTTTAATCGCCACTTTTTTTTTATCAAATTAAAAAAAGGTCACTAGGAGCTTGGATGTTTCTATTTCAAATTATTTAGGCAGCATATAAATTGTCTTTATAGCAAAAAAAAAATACGCATCTCATAGATATCTGATATATATTTTTTTTCTTTTATTGCAAGCATTCTATTATTAATAGCCGGCTAGGGCTTAAAACTATAGAACTTAACATTCGTTCTGTGTCCAATTAGAAAAAAAATAACAATATTATATTAATTAATCACAAAAATATTCTAGTTAAAACTAAATAAAATATGTTAAATTAAAAAACCTTTCATGCTCGTATGTAGTTTAAAAATTATTGTAACCGGTTACGGAGGAAAGTATGGATACGTCACTAGTATGTAGGTACCTACTATATTTGAAAGATCCAAATGATTTTGCTTCGTGTACAAAGCGTATATAACGCGATAGCTTCGCCTACACTTAGAAATATATACATTATACAATATACATAGATAAAAATATTAATTCGATCTGTTAACGTAGGTACTACATAGGTACTAATTTTTTTTTTCAGATTTTCTCAAACATGGTATACTCTATGTCAAAAATATAATTACGGGACTAACTCGGGACTTAATAGAATACAGTTTAAAGTACCAAAATCGCTCAAGCCACCTCAGAGAAATCGGTGAACACACCCCTTTTTTCTAAGTCAGTTAAAACCAACCTCTAATATCCAATTCAAACGTATTGGGCTTATCAAATCAAACCAAATAAGCCCAAACTCAAAATGTTAGCTAAAAGCCGTTGAAGAGTAGCACTAACCCGCTTCTGGCCTATTTAAATTATTATAATATCATTGGAAATACAAACACATACAAATTCGCTTGCAGAGTCGCAGTACAAGTCGCTAGAAGCAAAAATTAAAAAAAAAACTCTCTTTATAATAACTTTAAAGAATATTCAGTATTTTTATGTTATTTTAACAATCATTAATAACTTCAGTGTAAATAGTAATAATAGATAAGATGGTACCATGGAGCTAGATGATGGAGCTGTAATGTGACAATAGGAACTCTTCAATTATAATTTGCGATCATCACCCAACACACTTTTTTCACATAACCAAAGAAAAATTAATGATATTGTCTATGATTAGTGAAAAATTAAATAATATAATTTAATTATACTTAATTTGAGTTTAAAACAGTTTTTGGTAGTTTGGTGAGTACAACCCTACGCCGATAATTATGATGCCTTATTAAAAAGATTTACATTTAGAAGGGATACTTTAAATAAAACAACAAGTGTTAATAAAGTTACATATCACGATATCAATACTAATCGTATCTTATACCAAAAAAAAAGAAAAAAAGAACCATTTCATTAATAATTAAGAGATTATCCAAAATTGTACATCGAATAAAATGTATGTATTTAAAATATATATAACCTATAAATGTAATTTTCTATTTTATCCAACATAATATGGTAGTTTATAAAATATATTTAATTAAAAAAAAAAACACCCACCCAAAACACCATGCACTGTGGCACAACACAAAAAAAAGTCCAAAATATATTTTTTTTTTGTTTTTAAATCTCACGTCACTCGCGCTAACTCAACGACAACTAGGTTTCAACTGAATTATTTTATTACTGAACACTATTACGTGACAATGGGCGGTACCCACCATACAAATTTGACCCACAATTCAAAATAACTTGTATCAAACTAGAGCTCTTCTTACACTGTACACAAACTCCCAATTTATAAAGACCTATAACAACGTTCTAAAACTATATTTTCGGGGATCGCTCTACTTTGGCGATATAACGCCCCGCCTTATATCGTTGTCTCGTTCACTCTTATATATTTAGAAAGAGACACAACTTATTTCAACATGGAGATTGTTTGAAAAATAAGCCTGTAATGATTTTAATTGGATTTTGAATAATGTAGCCATTTGTGATTGTGAAATTTAAGTGAGATTATTAAATAAAGTATTTTAGTTAGTGAGTTAGTTTTTAGTTCATATGTAGAGTTTGAAGAGTAAATGGTTTTTGAGTTGTGATTTTACGTATTGGCTTTATTTTACGTAACTTTATGGTGTTAGAGACCAAAGATTTACCCTCATTTCGCTCGGGTCCCTAGGTACGTTTTCATTTTTTGAGCGGAACCCTAATTCCTTTTCTAAAATAAAAGTAGCCTAAGTTACTCCCTATAACATCAACTATCTACCAGTGAAAGTCCCGTCGAAATCAGCCCAGCCGTTAAGGAGATTAACCGGAACAAACAGACAAAAAAATTTAAAATTGTTTTCTTTTTTATTATAAATAGTTATCCTATTTTCATATGCATTTAGTAAAACGCTGTTATTTTGAAATTACAAACAGACACTTCAATTTTATTTATCTGTATAGATAAATTATTCGGCCGGTGTGTAAAGTCGGGGCGTGGTGCCATACCTTTGACCCGGCAAGGAGCTTGTA